AGTTGAAATTTATACTCTCTAAAAATATATATAATCCGAGAATGCTAAAAGTTAAAGGTATGGATGACGACTAATTTTAATCTCATGCTTAAATACCCAACCTCGATCATTTTATAAACAACAAAGGCACCTAAACTTGAACTTAATTAATACAATTTACATTAACAATATATATAAGTTGAATCAACGAACAAAATGACAAAATCAAACAAGTTGCACTAACTAACGTATCAGCTATAGAAGAAAAGCCAAAAATCGACAATAAGATGATAGACAAATTGGTAATTCTATCTATGCACACTATTTCAAAAATCAAATGATAGGTGTCCAATCTCATTCATAGGTTTTTAAGTTGTAAATAAAATCATAGGGCCCTAACCCCACTGACCTCGTCAAAAAGCGTAAGTGTAGGAGCAAACCTAAAATACGAACTAAAATGAGACAGAACTTTAGATTATATTATCAAAATCTACTTTTTATCCCTTTCCTATTGGACTTTGTCGTCATGATCTATGACAATTTCATACCTACTTGCCCCACCATACCCTTTTCCATTACCAAACCAAGCCTAAGTTTTCAATCTCAGTATCATTAAGTTTCTGCTACTTTGCTAGAATACAGATTAAAATAGTGATTTCTTGCCTTGTAGGTTAAAAAACCTATTTTTAATGACATGGGTTGTGCAGTTTCTGTCGTTGTTTAACCGTTAAACCAATTACCAATGCATGCGTATAAAGATTCTTCCTGACTGTTTCGTACTATCTTAGCTGAAAACGAGTGTGCAGACAACAACTATAGCAACAATAAGAAAGAACAAAACTATTTTGGACGTTCTCACTTTTTTTCTACTCCCATCTTTTTCCACATGAATATCTATATAAATGTACGAGAAAAAAGGGTCAATTAATTTTGCAGTTCTTTACAAATTTATTCTTAGTTTTATGACCCTACTTTTTTTTTTTAGACATGAGAGATTTATACGTAACAGATCTGTCTTTTACACTTAAAAGAACTAAAAAGATCATTTTCGTAATTCTAAAATTGTAAAGGGACTTATATATAAATAGCACGAGAAAAAAGGGGCAAGTTTACCGTATAAATATTTTTTTACACATCAAGTAAATTGATCAACAACAATAAAAATAACTCTTTCTATCAAGCATATCATGGTAACCTGATAAATAGAGAGAAAATTTGTTATAACCAATTTAATTATTGTGATGACCAAAAGGGTCATCTTTTATTTTATAATCCGAATCCGGGATTCGAGCCCTCGAAAATCTTATTCTTTTCTTCTCGATTTGCGTGCGCCGTCCGGGCGCGTTTTCGGAAAGCCTTTATGTAAAATTTGAGAAAAATATTGAATTTTGCCTTTAAAATTGATTAAAGTTGACTTCGGTCAACATTTTCGGTAAACGGACTCGGACCGTGATTTGACGGTCCCGTAGGGTCCGTAGTAAAATATGGGACTTGGGCGTATGCACGAAATTGAATTCCGAGGTCCCTAGCCCGAGTAATGAATTTTTGAAGAAAATTATTTGCTGAAAAATATAAGGATTTTTAGAAATGGAATAGTGTGTGATCTCGTTGGTATCGGGCTCGTATTTTAGTTCCGGAGCCCGGTACATGTTTAATATATAATTTAACTCGTGTCTGTAAATATTGGTGAGAAACGGGACTGATCTGACGTGATTCGAACGTCCGATTGTGAAAATAGAAATTTCAAGTGTTCTTAAGAAAACCATGAGATTTGGTGTTAAATTCGTTGTTTAAGATGTTATTTTGGCGATTGATCGCACGAGCAAGTCCGTATGATATTTTTAGACTTGTGTGCATGTTTGGTTTGGAGCCCCGAGGGCTCGGGTGAGTTTTGGATAGGCTACGGAGTGAGTTTGAACTTAAAAAATCTGCTGTAGCAGTTGATACCTGTAGCAGACTTGCGAGATCAGGCTTCGCATTTGCGAGCTTCACAGTCTTGGCAATTGCAAGGTCTCTATCGCAATTGCGAAGAAGACCTAGGCCAGCATAGTTCGCAATTGCGAACATATCTTCGCATTTGCGAAGTAGTCAGGGAGAGGGGAATCCTCGCAATTGCGACCAAAGGTTCGCAAATACGACAGTAGCAGAAATGCGGCAGGTTCGCAATTGCGACGTCTGTCTCGCATTTGCGAGCTTCGCAATTGCGAAGCTCTGGTCGCAAATGCGACATTTGCAACTGATCAAAACATAACTTAGACGGGATTTTCAATCCATTTCTCAAATTTTCAAACCCTAAGCTTCAAGAGGCGATTTTCTAGAGAGTAGTTCTTCCCCAAATCATAGGTAAACGATTTCTCACTCATTTCTTTCAATCTATTTCATCTTTTTACAAGATTTCATCACAAAATCTAGGAATTTTCATGGGAAATTGGGTGTTTTTGGGTAAAATTTAGGAATTTAGAAATTTGGGGATTTAGACCTCAAATTGAGGTCGAATTCCAAAACCAAGTGTATATCCGGGCTCGGGGGTGAATGGGTAATTTTGATCCAAACTTCGAGTTTTGACCAAGCAGGCCTGGAGTCGATTTTTGACTTTTTGGGAAAAATATTGGGAAATCTATAATCATGCATTAGGATTGGTTTCTTTGTTAAAGCACGAAGGGTGATGCCGTGCACATTTATATTATTCATATGGTGAGGAAGAGTGATAAAACACGAAGGGTGATATCGTGCACATTTATATTATGCATATGGTGAGGAAGAGTGATAAAGCCGAAGGGTGATGCCGTGCACATTTCTATTATTCGTATGGTGAGGAAGAGCGTTAAAGCATGAAGGGTGATGCCGTGCACGTTTCTATTATTGATTGCACGGTGAGGATTGAGAGTAAAAGCACGAAAGGTGATGCCGTGCACATTTCTATTATTCATATGGTGAGGAAGAGCGTTAAAGCATGAAGGGTGATGCCGTGCACGTTTCTATTATTGATTGCATGGTGAGGATTGAGAGTAAAAGTACGAAAGGTGATGCCGTGCATTTTCTGTTTGCTGTGATTATTGATATTATCGGTTCAGTGTGTTTTAACTATTTAAATTCCTTACTGCTGTGATTCTTTATGTTGGAACCCCCATAGCATGTTGCCCCTTCATGTTCATTTCTGCTTAGCTTTTATTACTTGTTATCATGTTAGTATATTGATTAACTACACAGGTTTATGTCGTTTGTCGTGTCCTAGCCTCGTTACTACTTCGCCGATGTTAGGCTTGACACTTACCAGTACATGGGGTCAGTTGTATTGATACTGCACTCTGCACTTTCTGTGCAGATCCCGGTACTGGATCATACTGATCAGAGTTCGAGGTTGCTGCCTTCAGTCCACAGGAGACCCAAAGAAGATCTGTCGGCGTTCGCAGACCCTGGAGTGCCCTTCCCTCTATCTTAGTTCATGTTTTCTTTCATTCCGAAAAACAAATGTATTTTCCTTTAAACCAGTATTTGTAGAAATTCTTAGATGTTAGTGGATTGTGACACCAGATCATTGGGGTAGCCTTGTTCTAGAGTTTTGAACTGTTATAAAATTTCTGCATTTCATACCTGTTTAGCTTTAATATTATCATCTAATACTGTTTGGGTTAATGATTAGTGTGTTGGAATTATATATGTTGGCTTGCCTAGCATTCAAGAGGTAGACGCCATCACGATCTCGACGGTGGAAATTCCGGGTCGTGACAATTATATTGGTAGTATAGATAATTTTTATACTCTCAGTATATATTATAACTTAAATACAAGTGAAAAATGATGGTTCAATTAAGCTCAGACACTCGCTACTTCTTTGTAACAAAATGAATTCAAATTTAGGAGTATATTTGTAAAGAATTCTTTATCTAGATAGGTATACTTTGAATAAGAGATAATGAATGCATTGGTGACCTATTGATTTTCATGTATTCGTTTTTGACAGAAATTTATATGGGGAGTTCATAAGAAATCAAATGTCAGCTGATTAATCATTTTATCAGAGCGCCGTTAAGATTTTGAAAATATTTTCAATAACTCGAAAATATTGAAGTAAAAGAAACAAAACTGTTTTTTGTATGCTGGACGTTGAATGATTGCTACATTCAAATTGCTAAATGTCATGCTACACAACCATTATGTCCTCCATAATGTTTGTGATTTCCAACTCCTTTACAGGTTCAAATTACAAAGTAGACAAATCTTCTCATCGAAATGACAAAAGTTTGATCTTTGAAAACCCTCGAAATTGATGAATTTTAGCTTTTCCTATGACATTTCTTCCATTACTACTACCACTAGAGTGTTGGAGAAAGGTCAAAAAAGCAAGTGACAAATCTCGTCCATGAGAATGAAGAAGCAAGAATCCAGATTCAATGTTTAAATGACCAAGCAAACTAAAGTAAAACTTTAATAAATCCTTTTGCTCTAGGCACAAAAGGTAACTAATTTAATTTTCCAACCTTTTATACTCTTTTGGTTCATTTTTACTTGTTCAAAAAATAAAATTTCACTTTTACTTGTCCACAGACTAAATCAAGAGAAATGCGATTTCTTTATCCTATTTTATTCTTATCATTAATTACTTATTCCTCAAATTATTTTTTAAGACTTTTGAAAATGCTATCATTATTATGGATAAAATTATAAAATATATATTTTATTTATTTTTTCTTAGATGAAGTGAAACGTTAAAAGTGGATAACTAAAAGCAACACTTAGTTATCAATAGTAAACAAAATATAAAACCCAATTGAATAGAAAATGATTAAAAAAGAAAAAGAAATCGCAATAAAACCTACGTCCGGTCAAGGAATCACAATGGAACACCTATCAATTTTGGTATCCAAAGTAAACTTTTTACGATCAAAGGTTAGGCCAAAGTTACTCATAAAATTAGTGATACTGTGATATCTTGATAATTAAGCTACTCAGGGAATTTCGACTAAAAATTTATAAATGCAGAATAAGTTACGAAAATGAATTTGTTTTGGAACAAAACAGAGAGGATTATAAGTTAGATATATGATTGTATTTAGTTTGCTCTAATTAACCGGGGTACAATATACCAACTGAATTACTTTACTCAGGTATGCTCACAAGTACAGGTCGCCAAGCCCTCCTAAGTAACCGTTGCCGGAAAGTCGCCGATAATGGTCGGAGCGAACGTAACCCAATTCTCCGAACAGGTGACCCCGCACTAATACCGCCACCGGAACCAGAGGTTGCCGGCGAGAGTACTTGTCTCGTATTTTCCGAAAGTGTCTTCTCAAACGAGGGAGGCGACGAAACAAACAAGTCCTTCAGCTTGTGACTGACGACCAGTTCCTTCCCCTTCTCCGGCGAATCTCGGTGTCGATCGGGCGAGCAGACTTCCCGGCGAGGCAGCCTACGGTTACTGCTGCCTCCGCGGCTGAGAAGCATACGAAGAGTCTTCCGGCGGCGGAGGTGAATAACTGGGCTTGTTGTTGGGCTCCGCGTTGGGCTTCCTGCTACTGCACATTGAGTTGCCAGAAGCTTGAATTTCTGCAAAGTAGCCATTTGCTTCGATCTGAGAAATTCTTCAACTGATTCAAGGTATATAAATTTGGAGTGAATAATTATTAAATGGTGGTTCAAAAATGGGAGTGAAGAGACGGGGGAATACAGACGGCTTTCGTTAAGGCCGGGGAATATGACCGTCTGTTTGGTTCTTTTAAGGCGTTCTTTATCCCACTTTCATTTTCAAGCCTGTTGCGGCATCATTCTAAAACGTGGCCTCTTTTCCCAAGTTCGTAACCAGTCTTCACTTATGGGCCCCACTTCCTTTTTTACCATACAGCATAAATTAGGTTTTTGACTTTACTCTTGGATTTAATTACTACTTTAGTATATTTTAAACACTACTCGAGAAATTTTTTTTATATAATGTAGTTTAATTAGTTAAAATAAATCCCGTATTACATTTTAAATTTATCAAATTTGAATTATTATATACTGTTACATGTTGTTGTACGGTATAAATATATATAAGTTAAACTTATAATTTTTAACTTTGATGGTGAAAAGATGTCGTGACATTGTCAACTTATTTAAGAACTAATTATGTTTAATTACTACATTATTTTAATCAATTTTAACATGACACTGCATGCTATTTTTACAAGCTCACGCTTCCATGTTCTATATGATATAGTAGTAATATACATTGCTTGAACTTGTCCGTGCGTATTTAATTTATCAGAGAATTGGACCACATCCATGTACCATATATGTGTACATTGCTTGGACTCGATTCTCATGTTTCCTTATCCACGGATAAGATTAAAGGACCACACTTCATTCTTTAATTCTAAGATACGTTAATTATTAAATGTTACTCACTTACTCTATTCCCTATTCTCTATATACTAGTACATGTATGCTCAATAGAAATCCGAATAGGAATTGCTTTTTGCATATAGAAATTGTTAAAAGTGACTCAAAAAGGTTTTAGGTTACACCGTTAAATTTCAAGTGTGGTAATTTTACATTTTTTAAAATTTCTTCATTAGAATTTTTGACTTCTTGGCTATTAATAGGTTGGTTGTTATCAAAATTCTAGAGCAAGCAAGCACGATAAGATTGGAGTTTGAATATTTAAAATATTCAAAGTTATCTATAAATGCATGCCTATGAGAAGTGTGTGACCAACGGAAGACAACAGGATGATGACCATCTCATGATTCGGCGTTAAGCCTATTGTCACCATAATCGGAAGTCGCATTATCACTGCATTATCACTTTTTCTCGTTTAACCAGAATTTCTTATAGTTTAATATTTGTTGTTCAATGTGAATGCTAGTCTTTCGGTCTTTCCCTTGAGATACATCCACGTGTAGCATTCTTGCCTATTAGTAATATCACTTCATCTTTAAGCCACTTCTTTGAAAAAATAATTGCGGACTTTACTGTACTTCTACTGTTATTTTTTCTCATTTGAACGACAACATACGCGCTTAGATCACTTTTTACTATTCGTATATTTTATAGACGCAAGTACCTCAAATTAAGGCTGTATTCTGGGCCGGGCCCGAGCCTAACGGTCCTAATATGTGGAACCGGCCCACTATGGGCCTAAGCCCACATGGTCCCGGGCTAAATGAGCCGGGCCCACGGGCCTAAACGGGCCTAATGGGCCTTTTCGTTCCAGGCTATTTTTTTTATAATTTTTTTTGTCTAAGGCAATTTCTTGTAAATTATATATATATATATATATATATATTATATCTATATCTATAATACATTAACATATATATAGCTTATATGTGTTAGATGTATATATATATCTTATATATATTATGTAGTATATACAGTATGTTATGTATATATATATTGCCTTATATAATTTCTTGTAAATATATTATAGCTTATATGTTTTAGATATGTGTGTGTGTGTGTGTGTGTGTGTGTATATAGTATGTTATGTATATATATTGCCTTATATAATTTCTTGTAAATATATTATAGCTTATATAGAATTGTAAGTTAAATCTTCTAAAGAGTCAAATTTAAACACAAAAAAAAAATTGCAAAGAGATATTCAAGGGAATGTCTTATAATTTTTATTATTACGACATTAACAAAAATGGCAATATCTTTCTTAGTCTTCCTCCCCCCAATGGAATGAGCACAACAAGGTGCTAATACCACCATTAAAAGGAAAAAAAAACTAAAGAAGATGTGCCAAAGTACAAGTTACACCATAATCTACATAGTATCTCTAACAAATTTCATAAATCCTTCAAGGTTCGGAGGAAGTTCCGTTGGTGGTGGCGGAAAAGAAGCTTGTTCATCACCGCTTCCGGGCGAAGCAGCATCCTCCGCAAGTTTCGCTATCATTTCTTAATATAAAATGCCACCGGTCATAGTGTTAATTCCTGGTTGAACTAGATTTGAACCTGTACTAGGGTTAACCGTAGTATCTACACTTCTCCCCTCTAGCTGCGCTTTCATTTGAAGATATCTAGCTTTATCTCTAGGGTGTGTCTTTATGTGTCTAGTCAAACTACCCGTACCGCTACGGTCTCCAATAAATTTATGAGCCAACAAACCCCCACAAGTATTACACTTAGCCTTATTTTGTTCTCTTAGTTGAGTAAAAAAGTTCCAAACAAGTGATGTTTCGGGGCGTCTAGAACGCTGTCTATTAAAAGTAAGGGTTACTACAGGAGGGTCAGGCGGGGCATCATTTGGATTATTATCAGTTGAGTTAACAACAGGACTAGTAGGTGTATCATCTAAATCCGGTTGTGTTTCATCTAAATCTTCATTTTCCTCATCATTTTCATCAATAGTTTCATTAGGATAAAAAGCATTCATATATTCAGCATTTAATTGTTCACCTGGTGCAACATCATGACAAAATTGACTATCGCTAAATTGAAAACAAGGGTTATCACTATCAAGAATAATAGGTGCAGGAGGACGGGTAACAGGTCTGGGTTGGGGAGCCGGGGGAGGGGTAGTAGCTTGGCGACTAGATTCACCAATTTTAGATTTTCCCTTACCACCAAACATTTTTTTCAAAGAAAAGGCCATATTAATTATAATTATACAAACTAAAATAAACGAAACTATATTATTAAAACTTAAGAGTTGGAACGAGTTTACCGAATTGACGAACAACTTCTTGAAAATTGAATATCGTTGAAGACTTGAATACTTCAATTCACCAACTTCACAATTTTTCACGAAATTGCAATAATAAAGTAAGCAATTATAGAAGAAAATTAGAGAGAGATTGAGAGAGATTGATAAATTTGTGAGTAAAAATAAAAGAATGAGGGGGTATTTATAGTTGAGAATAGGAAAAAAGTATAATTACAAAAAGTTTGGGGTTAAAACAAAGTTTGGGGGCCAAATGGCTATTTTTTAAACTTCCCAACGGCTGAAATTAAGGGCCAACGGCTACTTTTTAAATTTCTAGCCGTTGGGCTTTTATATAAAAAAAATTTTGAAATATTACCGTTGGGCCCGTGAAGCCCGTTAGGCCCGGTTGAACCGGCCCAGGCCCGCCTGCCGGTCCCGGGCTCACGGGCTTTTTGGTTGAGACCGGCCCACAGTGGGCTTTTGCACCATTAGAGACCGGCCCGTTTGGACCAGCCCGTTTGGCCCGCGGTCCTGGGCCGGTCCCGGGCTGGGCTCGGCCCACAATACAGCTTTACCTCAAATAGCCACATTGGCGTTAAGAGTCCAGAGTCCAGAACCGAAATGTGGTTCTTTTGGTCTCAAAACACTTTTTTAGGTGTAAAAAAAAAGTTACAATTCTATATAAAACGCAGTTATGAACAACGTTTTACCTTAAAGGCCGTTTAGGACGTTAAGGTAAAGCGCGGTTCATCACCGTGTTTATATAAAATGCAGTTGAATGCCGCACTTTACTGGAAGCTGATAAGACAGCTATATAAAGCGCGGTTCATTACTGCGTTTTATATAAGACGCAATAAGAAACAACGTTTTACATGTTTAGTGGGCCCACCAATAACTATTCTGCGCTTAACTAACATAACAATAATTTAAATATGTAAAACGCCCTTTTAAACTGCATTTTACTTCCAAAAATTTGACCCCCCTGGATTAGGCATTGCCTTATATAAAGGCGTTAAGGGTTTTGAGAAAACTCCACTACTAAAAAATATGATTTTATCGACGGCCAAATTCTGTAGCTAAACAGAAAAATCCGTCGTTAATCTCATTTAGCGACGGATTAGCGATAGATCATCAAGAAATTCTACTAGCTACAGGCGATTTAGCGACAGATTAGCGACGACGTTCGTAGCTAATTCCAGTTTATTTTGTAGTGCTCATTCAGAAATACTCCAACTTTGTGATAAATTTTTCTTGTTGTTAAATTCTCAAGTTTTTATCAAAATGTCTGAAGAGCGAAAAGTAAGAGTTTCATTATATTGGGGGGGGGGGGGGAGGGGTGAGGTTGTGGTGGCGAATAACTCCGTGAGCTATAGTTTATCTCCACAGAGTCATGTTAAGTTGCCACTTACAATGGAGTACGATAGACTGGAATATTCGTTGTTATGCAATAAAATGAGGTTGAGCAAACGTTCGGTGAATCTTAAAATAACCAGAAGATATCCGTATTCTGTACCTCCTCAAGGATGATGAAACTCTGAGAGATTTTTTGGGGACTCCGGATGAATACTGGGAACTTATTTTGATAAAATGTTGGAAATGTACGTGAAGGTTGAAGACGTTTGCAATAATGATGTTGCGCAAAGCAGGGATAACCCTCAATCATCGGGCAGTATTTTGGAGCAGTTTTAGCCCAATAGGTTCCGGCTGAAAGAGTTTGGCCGGATCTAAACTTATCTCCGCGGGCGAACGAGGAGCGAGAAAATAATTTCTCCCTTACTTTACATAATCCACAAGACGACTGGTAAACTTCAATTTTTCTTTGTGTTACGATGTTTATTTTTGTTGTATTGAATTTGTATTAAGACTCATATATTCCATATGGGGTACCGTCCAGATATGAATTTTACAAGTTATGACCCCACACCCAGTTGGAATATGCGTAGTTTTGGTGTGTTTGATCACGGTGGTCCATCCGGGAGTCATCACCAACATATAATGTCCATCATGGAATGTTAACACATTACGACTTGTAAGTGAAGTGATATAGCTATATGTAAAGTATTTATCAATTTGAGTAGCTTATCATTTTGTTGTTTGTGCAGTGAAAACGAGCAACTTGATGGTCCTGACCTCACTCAGTTGCCCATAGACGACGTATTTACTCGTGATTTGGCAGACGCGCAGAGT